GTACATTATTTTCTTCCATCCATTTTATAGCCTTTTTTGAGGTATGTCACACTGCACCATCTTGCTGAAACACAAAATGTTGGCCGGATGTCAAACATTCTTCCATCACATTCTTATAAAATTGCCAAATATTTCTTTGTATCCACATTTCCATCAATAAAATGAAGTTTTCCTACTCCTTTTGATGACATACTGCCCCAGACCATAATGGATGCTGGAAATTTCACTTTTCTCTCCATTCGAGCTGCGAAATCCTGAGGACGAAGGCCTTGATGCAAGCATAGGTGATATGGATGGTACGTATGCTTGTGAATAATCCTTTGGACATAAGTTCTGCATATATCAGTTTCTGCTGCAATTTGCCGTGCACTTAAATGGGGATTTTCCTGCAACTAGAACCTCCAACTGATTCGCCTCATTGGTGACACTTGGATTATTTATACATTTTTTACTATATTCCAGTGCGCCACTTGATTCAAAACGTTTATTTCCGGCCTTGGATGTCGCATATTAGGGTACCGTTGCTTGTAAATGCGAGATGCTAGGAAACTATTTCTTTGGGCTTCGCCCAAAACGAACACCATATTCACCATTAATTCGTTAGGAAAATTCATTTTCAAACACGTTTTTGTTATAATGCCCACAAAGCTAATTTTGACAGTTTGTAACTAATCAACAATTTATTTGTTCCCAATGATGATGCGATATTTTAGGGAATTAAGCCGTTAAATATAAAAAGTGACCGAAAAAATACCCGTAAAAAACATCATGTGTCTAGTATCAAAAAAAAAGCTTGTAAAGAATTGAATCCAAACTTGCACAAATATACAGGGTGATGCATTTGAAATTTTTGAGAAAAACTACAATTTGCGTTTTATGAGCAAAAATTGAAATTCGAAAAAGTAACAAATAAGATAAAAGTTGAGCTGTGTAAGTTTTTTTTTTTTTGATGCAAGATTTAGCACGCCAAGTTTTAAAATGCCGCACTGAGGGGTTGCCTATGTGGACGGTTTTTCTGGACAAAACACCTTACATCTCAGTAGCTAATTACCAAAACCCCATAGTATGTTATATCAATTTTCATCTTTTGAATTGGTTTATCCAAATATGCAATAAAATTGGAGGCATTCCATTTGAAAAATCACAACTTTGATATGCAGGTCAAAATTGGGCCACCCTGTTTAATGACCAATATTTTAGAAATGTGCCCTCAAATGTCATGCATAAAAAAGTCCCATAACATCCCATAAATAGATTTTCTCAAAATGTATTTGTTTATGACTAATATTCCGTCCACACATGGATGGGCCACCATGTATACATGCACAATTTCCATTCATGGAGCGTGGGAAATCCACATCCTATTCGCCGACACAGCTTTCAACGTCAGTTCGGCGTTAATTTATGGGCTGGAGTACTCAACAAAAGATTAATTGGACCATATGAATTGCCCGCCAGGTTGAATGGTCAGTCATATCTTGCTTTTCTACAAAGCAGTGTGCATGAGCTGCAAGAGGATGTACCTTTGGACCTTCGAAGCCGCATGTATTTTCAACGCGAAGGTTCCCCATGCCACTTTGCACGGGATGTACGGCATTACTTAGGCAGTGCTTTCCTGGGCGTTGGATAGGTAGAGGTGGACACATACGATGGCCTCCAAGGTCACCCGATTTAAGTCCTCCAGATTTTTTATATGGAGATTTTATAAGGGGATAATCTATACATATGAATATACAAATATCAGCCAACTGTGGCAGAAAATTGATGAAGCAAAAATAAAAATTATGGAAAACGCAAAGACTAAAGGAGAATTTTATTAGAAGGTGTCGCTTGTGAATAGAAAATAATGGAGGCCCACTTAGAACATGTTCTTTAAAAGTTAGTTAAATTGAATTATCTTACACATTTGTCGGTAAAGAGCGGCTAAACACAATAGGTTCTGTACTTGTAGGTGGTAAGGATTCTATTGCGTTTCTTATTACGTTTATCGGATCACAACAACGAATGTGACATGATACACTCATCGTAGCAAGCTGAAATTTCCAGTGCTTATTCTACATGTATTGAAATAGTTTTTATAATAAAATGAATAATTAAATACAACTTCAATTTTTTACCGCCCCTCCAAAGTTGAGGGATGGAAGAGATTTTTCACAAAGAAAAAAAATATATTTAAGATTTTTTGCGTTGATTTCTAATAAGCTCTGTTAACATGATCATTTCTAAAACTAACCATTTAGCTCATCTCAGAAAAAATCACAGCCCTAAACCTAATGGTTTAGTTGTAATTGCGATTGAAAGTTCATTATCCCGTTTTTTTTTTTGAAATTTCACAAAATTGCAAATATCTCCTGAACTATAAAACGACCACACATATAGGGGTTCATTCGATATGTTTTGAGGCCTGACTTCCGTTGGTCCACTACTAACTTTACACCCTGTATATATGCGAGCAGTAGTCATTACCATTGCCAACGACCAGTTGAAAATACAATTAAATTGTTAATTGGGAATTGGCAAACTTTAAGCTTAGTTATTTCTTTTGTCGGTAATCTCGAGCTTTCGACAAACTATGTTGTCATCTTCAGCAGCTTAAACACAAATATGAAACTAGCAACTAATTTAGAAAGGATTTAAATTTTCAGAATACTTACTCGTCAGTGAGGTTGCAGCCAAATGATGTTTTAAAACGAAAGCGTATACGAGAACACTTGTTGAGAATATAAAACCGGAGCGGACACATTGGGTTTGTTACCAACGACGGAAACCATAGCTAGATGTCACCACCATATATCAATAAACCCGAACAAATTAAAAATTTCAAAACATACTCATGTTATTAAAAACTAATACTACATTACTATATTATATATACAGGGTGTTCCTTAATAATATGCGAATATTTAAGGGTGTGAATCTGCATGAAAAATTAATGTTAGTTTGCTTTATAAACTATGGTCCAAAAATGTTTTTTTAAAGTTTCTTGAAGTTTTAGGAAAAAAAATGGAAATTAATTAATATTTTCAGAACGGCTTCAGATATTTTACTGATATTTAGTATGTATGGAAAGCTAATAGAGTTGCTTATTTTTCAATGCAAAAATAATTTTTAGCTTTAACAGTGGCGTGCGTACGGGTATTAACTTCGATATTTTTTAAGAATAAAATGGTACGCCAATGTTTTTTTCCAAATAAAAATAATTTTTGAATTCCCCGTTTAATTTAAAACAAATGATCTCTCTTGAATTTTATTTCCTTCGATGCGCCATTTTTGAGTAAAAAAATAAAAACCGATCTATTGTGTAACTTGCAAAATTATTATTAATTGTAAAAATTAAACACATTAGGGGTAATGAACAACAACAACTGACAACATAAACATGACAACGAATTGATTTCAAAAATTGTTGAAAATGGCCCCCTTCACTTAGTATGCATGCTTCCGCCCTCCTTCTCATGGAATTGCGCACTCGTTGAAACATCCCTGGAGTGTTTTTTATTCTGTCACAAGCTGCAACTATTCTTTCTCTTAGTTCCTCTAAGGTGTTAATGGGACTTGTGTACACTAGTGTCTTAAGATAGCCACACAAAAAGAAATCTAAACTGTTGACGTCTGAGGACCTTGGTGGCAATTCTTGGGGGCCACCGCGGCCAATCCAACGATTTGGATAAACAGTTTTTAAATACCTACGAACCGCTACACTGAAATGCGCTGGTGCACCATCATGTATATATCATATATTGTTTCTTATTACTAACGGAACATCATCAAGCAGCAAAGGCAACTGTTATTGAAGAAAATTGAGGTGTCTGTCCGTCAAGTTGTCCCGGCAAAAAGAATGGGCCAATAAAGTGGTTGCCAATAATTCCTGCCCATATGTTAAACGAAAATTGGTGTTTGAAATGGGTTTCGGTTATGGCATAGGGATTTTCTTCTGCCCATAAATGATTATTGTGGAAATTCTGAATGGCATTTCGAGAAAAATTAGCTTCGTCCGTGAACAGAATCATTGATTCAAAGTGGAACGGTTTTTATTTTTTTACTCAAAAATGGCGCATTGAAGGAAAAGAATTCCAAGAGAGATCATTTGTTTTAAATTGTACGGAGAATTCAAAAATAATTTTTATTTGGCAAAAAACCATTGGCGTACCATTTTTTTCTTAAAAAATATCGAAGACAATACCCGTACGCACGCCACTGTTAAAGCTAAACATTATTTTTGCATTGAAAAATATGCAACTTTATTAACTTCCACTACGTACTAAGTATCAGTGAAATATCTGAAGCGGTTATGAAAATATTAATTTCCATTTTTTTCCTAAAACTTACCCGAGTTTTTGTAAGGAAACATTCTTGGATCATAGTTTATAAAGCAAACTAACATTAGTCTTCCATGTAGATTCACACCCTCAAATATTCGCATATCATTAAAGACCACCCTGTATATTTTCACGACCAATGGGCTATCTCGTATCCATAGCATTTCTTGTAATAAAAAACAAAGCATTCTAAAAATGAAGTTCGTCAGAATTCCATAGTAAAATTTCATCTGTCAATCTACATTTCATTACTGTGTACCAGACTTATATACGAACCCCTGACCAAGCAAAAAAGGGTTGGCTGATTACAGGTCAAAATGGTGACTTTACGCAAATAGCGTTGCGTTTCGATATTTTTTTTATTAATACTTGTTTTATAGCGCCTAAGAATAAAGTGTCATTCTGTAAATAAAAATAACCTATATTTGAATCGCATTGATATTCCCTATTTTTTTAAAAATATGGCTAGAAACACTAGTAAAGGTACAGGTACATGTGAGATCTCCCTTCTCTGCAATTTTCTACTTTCATATTAATAACATGACCAGAGAAAAGCGTCCAAACTACTGATTTGTCCTTCCAAAGAACTCTTTTTTTTTTCATTATTTCGAGAGCTCAAGCTTGTGGACATCCTACAGATTCTTTTCTATAGTCCTCTATATAATATTTCATTTCTTGAAGGCTGAAAGTGTGGAAAATCTTGAGGCAAAAGTGCTGACTCAAGAAAGCGTCATAATCAACATGGAATTGAGGACTGACTTTAGTTTGTACTGTATGCATATGGAAACTCAGTTGGTGTATGCTTATTTAGGTACACTGTCCTACATCATGGACAGTATTATAAGCCTCAAGTTGAGGAACCATTCAGAGGTAAGTTTTGTCTGGTGCCAAAAAGTATTCTTGTACACACATGCTCATTTTTTGTGCATTGAATTTATTTAAAAATAGTAGAGGCGTTTTAAAACATCGTGGCCGTGACCGTTACATTATGTGGATGCGCAGAAGACAGATATTAGAACGGCGGGAAGAATATTACCCTAACCACAAGTATAGACTTTTTTGAGGTAGACTGTCTGGCACACTGGCACTCGGCTTTGAACATCCAAGGGAGAACTATCGGTACCTACTCATTGGCGTGCGCGTATAGAGTACGATTTTGTATGTTGGATTTCCTTTATGTTAGACCAGAATGATATTCAATATGTGAGTGTAAAAGTTTCGGAGATTGTAGATGACTTATTGTATGAAACAGCGTTAGCATTGAAGTTGGTATTGTTCTTTTTCCATGTATAGAGCTTTGATAATCTGAGATGTAACGTATATGCGTTTAATTATGTTAATCAAATGTTGCTCCTAGATCGATTGGAACGTATTACCACACGCTTCTATTCACATTATATTTTCGAACCTTTTCAATGAAACATGAATTTCAATATGATCATTTTACTCAGTTTTATGATAATATTTTTTCTTAAAAGGGATAAGGACCAGCACAAGGTTGTTCATAGCCAGGCCGCTAGATTGTATATGTTTTTCAGTTCATGAGCCCTGAAAAGGAGGCAGGGGAAGTCATTATAACCTCAAAATCAGCTGATGAATCGAGTAGCAGAGGCCACAGGTGTATCATTCAATACAGTCAAACGCATTCGAACGAAATCAACAGTGGACAGGTTTGAGGCAGAGATAAGGGAAATAATTTATAAATTTGTCCATATTCATAAGTGGCGTCCTACCATTAAAGCCGTTTATGAAGCTGCAAAAAATTGAGTATAACTAGCGGGGAAAATCGGATTCTTCAGAAAAAAATTTCATAAATTAGGTTTTTGCTGGAAAAAGGTTGAAAATTGGAAACTATTGATTGAAAAACAAGTCACACACACCAAATTATTTAATAAATAGGAATGTGGCAAAAACTACCGAAATAATTTGACTGACCTACAGCAGACCTGGTATCAGTTATGTTTTTAGCCAAGCTTTTATTGTGACGCGTCTGCTTCTCCACAGATTAGAATCCGCGCATGTCGTCTAACGGTCATGCTCACGACGTTTTAAAACACCTCTAGTTGACAATATACGAGCTCCTCACCACTTCAGTTGGCCCACTTCAAGATTTGTACCAAAATATGCCTTTATAAACTAAACATGACGAAACTATTTACTTCTAAAACAATTTATATTCTCAAAAACATTTTAGATACACTCTAGTCGTAAAAAATACATATTTGAAATCACTTAGACCTATAAATAATAGACCATCTGAACAAATATACAATGTGCGAATAAATGCGCGAAGTTAACAAAGCAACAATTGAAAGATTACCATTGGGTAACATCACCTTTATTTTTTATTACGGCTGAAATTCTTTGGGGCATAGTTTTGGCAAAAATTTAGTGTAAAACAATCCCATATTTCTTGAAGCTTTTGTCTCAGTTCGGTGATTGTACGAGCAGGATGTTGTCGTAGAACCTTTTTCATCTCGTGCCACAAAGTTTCAATAGGTGACAGATCTGGACTGCTAGAAACCTATTTCAAAAGTGGTACATTGTTTTCTTCCATCCATTTTATAGCCTTTTTTGAGGTATGTCACACTGCACCATCTTGCTGAAACACAAAATCTTGACCGGATGTCAAACATTCTTCCATCACATTCTTCTAAAATTGCCAAATATTTCTTTGTATCCACATTTCCATCAATAAAATGAAGTTTTCCTACTCCTTTTGATGACATACTGCCCCAGACCATAATGGATGCTGGAAATTTCACTTTTCTCTTCAGACAGTCAACATGGAATGCGTCATTTTTTGCGAATAACTCTACTGCGACTGTCACCAACACAACCTTCGAATCGGGTCTCATCACTCCATTGTATTGCACACCATTGTTGAGGTGTCCATTGTCTATGTTCTTTAGCCCATCTAAGCCGATTTTTCTTTTGCAGTGGAGTTAATAGTGGCTTTTCTTTGGCCTATAAACAAGTTATGCACTTTTAGGGTTTTTACTTCACTTTTTTTTTTATAAGAAAACTTACCTTGCAAGTGCTAAATCCCAGTTTGTGGGCCTCTCTATGAGTCTTGGACCTCGAAATTCCCCTTCCAACAGCGTCGCTCCACAGAGCACTTAATTGTAAATAATTGGCACGCCTGTTTTTCACGATTATTATTCTTAATGCTCTTCGATCGGCATTTGTGATATTACTTTTTTCACATATCGTGGCTTAATATTAACTGAACCAGTTACGTTATATCTTCTAACAATATTTCTCACACTGTACCGCGATAAGTCTAACAAAGTTGCAATTTCCGAGTTTGATTTCCCAGAATTAAAAAATTGAATTATCAGTAACCGAATTTTCTCACTAATAACCTTTCCTCTACCCATTTTGAAAACCTTAACTACCCAAAACTATTTTAAACGTATTCTGACAGCTGTGATTAATAAACACAATTGTCATGGCTTTTATTTTTCACAGCCACCTATGCGTTATAGACTTATTTTTCATTGAAATGAAAATAGGTTGATATGCTGTAATTGCAACATGTGCAAATTTGATTAGGGAGTGATAAAGTTGGTGTTTTCTACTATATATTATCAAAATATTAATTGTTAATATTTTAAACCTATAACACCCTGCTACATTTTTATTATTGGTGTTTGATTAGAAAAAAACTAAGATTTCAATAGTTGGGCCAACTGAAGTGGGAAGGGGCTCGTAATTGGTCTTTGTTTAGACATACCTAGCAACAAATGTATAGTTGCATATACAGTCAAGAATTGTATACCTGGGGTCAATTGTTGAAAATCATGGAGTAGAATAAACAATATAATCAGTAACCTATTACCTTTCTGACTGCTTTAGACGGTTAATAATTTTCAGAAAAATAATGCTCCATGTTATCATTGATTAACATATTCTACTTGACAATAGCCAACCAACCACCTACTGTATTCTGGCGCCCACATATGGATCTGAAAGATCGTAGCGCCAACTGTTAGACAGTAGCAGAACATAAAACGAATTTATAAACCAACTTTGAATAGTTAGTGTGTTTATTTCTACTACTGATTCATAGATTGCGCCAATCCCCTTTTGGTGCCTTGCATATTTTAATTTTAAAAATTAGGAATTAGAGAAGCACCAAAAATGGGACTGCGCCATCTATGAATCAGTGGTAGAACCAAACCAGATTTCAAAAATCATTCGTATGTTCTTCTACTGTCTCATAGATGGCGCTAGTATCTATCTATCTTTCTTGACTCCAGAATACAGTATATGATTGGCTATTTTCAGACGGTATACATTGATCAATATGACTTTGAAAAATGAGATTCATAGATGACCTTGGGACTTCCGCACTATTTGTACTTCTCGGGGAGCGACTCTTCTATCAATTTTAAAGCTAATAGAACCACGCTCACCTTTACATCTCGTTCCGAGACAATTCTAGATGTATACCCTCAGTTGTACAGAATTGTTTTTGTTGTGAAACCACAAAGTATACAACTCTTTTGTTTTGTTTCAGTCTTACAATACATGGAAACACATACAGGACGTCGCACAAAGCTTTTTTGCCAACAGCCATCACAGTAACGGTGTACCATCATGACTTTGTGAAGTCAGCAACAACAAGTGTTTTAATTAAGTTAGGATAAATTAATTATTTTTATATTCATACTTGACACCACAGGTTATTGGGTACTACTAACTGTATTTACTATAGGAGTAGGAAAAATATTGCTATTTAATGTTATAATGGAATGAAATCTCATAGGAATGAATATACAGGGTGACGGGAAAATAGATGCGGAGCCGGTGGGAGGAGATTGTACAAGCCAATCTGAGTCGATTGTACTATAGGAACTACTGTCCGAAAATTAGCCGTTTTCGAATTATAGGGTAGAGTGGGGTTAACTGGACCCATCAAAATTTAAACTCTGTTTTTGACCAGTAAATCGTTGCTAAAAACATACCTTTGTGACCATGCTTTGGTAGTTATGTAAGTAATTGGAAAACGTAATGTTTAAAGTTAAATTTAAATTTATGTGTATGACAGATTGACTTTTTTAAAACCTATCAAATTGTCCAGTTAACCTGCCTGTCAGGTTAACTGGACCACTTATGCAGGTTGACTGAACAGAGGTACAAACAAGATATGTTTTTTAAATTTACTTTTACTTAACACTTTCTACATGGAAATTTTGTCAGCTTCTTATGATTTAGTGCCCTGGAATCTTCATGCGCTGCCATTTTTGTTATTTAATTGACAGAAATATACAATAAATTTGTCATAAATTGTTAAACAGCAAAAATGGCCATGCATGGAAAATTCAGGGCACTAAACCATAAGAAGGCTGGCAAGCTTTCCATCATTTACTATTACCAACCTAATACCCTAAATACAAGTCTAGCCCTCTAGCGAATAAGGCGACTAGCTATAATAAAAATGTTAAAAATATATCATAGAAAATATGTCAACACTTTTTAACAATCATTTTTATTTATAATAAGAAACATACTGAAGATACATTAAAATATTATAGATACTTTTAATAAACTGTAAAGTCAAACATACTGAACATGTATGAAAATATTGTAGGTAATTTTAATAAACTGTAAAGTCAAATTCATTTAAATCAACTTGAAATGACACCATGTTGGCATATCTAGCGCTGTTACTTTTGGCTGGCATGGGTAACTTACAAACAATATCAGCTTTTACAACAAAGCCATTTTCATTATTTTTAAAAAAATATTTTGTTTCTTTGTGGCGTTTTAAAAAAGTAACCTCAAAACCATCATTTACAGCATGAATAATTTCACCAACATAATGTCTGAAATTTAATTTATTTTGCCCATACACTTTCACGATTACAAAATCGCCTTTTGTCACAGCTTGTGGACTATCGTCATATGCATCAAATTCTTCTAAAGAATCCGAGCTTTCTTCATAGATAACACTGTCATCATCAGAAGAGCTGTCTTCTAGAATACGTCTTTTTACTGCCTCTTTTTTCTTGTTAGTTCTTTTGGTTTTTTTTTGTGCTTTTTCTTCTCGAAGTCTTGCTTCTTCCTCTATGTTCTCTTTGACTGGAGTGTCTGTCAAAATCAGAGATTTTTTCTTTCGTCGAATTGTAGACTTTCGTTCACCAGCTTTGGGGTGAGGACGGATCTGTTCAGGAGTTATAATTTGTAATGTCGGCTTTTTTATCTCAATTGAAGATAAAGTCGGTTTGGTTTGTGATTTTTCAGTTTGTAGTTTAGCAGTGCTCGACGATTCAGCTTGTGATGGTCCGGCTTGTGATTCTTGATATTTTGAGAGCTGAAATTGTGACAGAACAGGATCTGTCATGCCATGTTGAATTGGTTTAGGCAGTGATGTATTATCTTGTGACGACCCAGCTTGTGGTGCCTCTTCCTCTGATGTTTTCCCTGGTCTATCTGTAACATATGACGAAAGAAATTCTTCATCCGAAAATATTTGGTCATTAAACGGCTCTATTCCTGCTGCACGAAATCCACTGCATATATTTTTTGGAGTAAACGCTTGCAAAAAAGCCTCTCCAACCAGACATCCGATGTCATAAATAGTGATAGGTTTTCCGGCATGATTTACCATCCATCTGTCACAACTTGCACCATAATATTTTTTAAATGGCCCAAATACTGCTAAATCCAATGGTTGCAGCTTGTGGCTGCAATGGGGTGGCAATGTCAAAAGGAGTATACCGTTTTGCTTAGCAAAATTTAGTGCTGCAATACCTAAGTGACTCTCATGATTATCAAGGATTATTAGTTTGGGATGTTCTTTAGATGGTCTCTCGTTTTGTACGAAATGCTGCAACACAGGAAGAAACAACTGACTGTTCATCCATCCAGAAGGCGAAGCTCCACCCTTAGAGCCAGCTGGAGTTCCATGGAGCATATTTTCTTTAAAGTGTACTCGGGGAAATATTAAAAAAGGAGGAACATATCGTCCTGTAGCTCCAATAATTCCTACAACAGTTACGAGCGTCCCTCTTTCAGCCGACGTCATCTGGCCTACATTTCTTTTTCCTTTAATTGCAAGAACCTTAGGAGGTTTATGGACTGTGGTTACACCGGATTCATCTAGATTGTATATATCATTAGATTGCAAATTATATCTCTCTTTAATCTCTCTAAAATTTTTAAAAAATGCCTCCACATTTGTCTTATTAAAACTGGTTGCCCTACTTAAGCTTGTTTGTTCTGGCGTCCTCAACGAAAAGTTGTGCCTGTTCATAAATCTAAACATCCACTCTTTGCCTGCCATTGCTTCTCGGGACCAACTTTCTTTTATGGTTTTGCCATTGGCCACCGCAAACTCGTAAGCTAGAATACGAGCTTGTTTAGAAGACAAGCCATACTGAATGTTAGATGCATGCTCTAAGTATTTTTTAAGAAGTAATTCTTCATCGGGACTAAAAGCCAAAAGATGTTCGTTGTTGGGGCGAAAATTTATATCCAAGTTGTTTTTTTCCCGACATTTATCGACATACCTTTTTAAAGTAATTCTTGGGATTTTAAACTGAAGTGCAACACTTCGAGTTGTTCGACCATGTGTCAGGACTTCTTCACATGCTTGTCTAAGATCTGCTACACTATATGATCTGTTATTGGTAGTACGTAGTCTTTTTCTTGGCATATTCTAAAAAATAAACTAAATTTGTAGACAAAATAATAATAAATAAATAACGCAGGTTAACTGAACACCTGTTCATATAACCACATACATGAGATGTCCAGTTATACCCACTGTGCACCAATACATAAGCAAAAGAAAAATTTGATTAAAAAATAATGTTAAGCTTAGGTAAACACAAGAAATAAATGCTAAAATACTTACTGGAACAAAATATACGTCAAACCAATTTAAAAACTGTATTTTGCTAACTGTAACACAAAAAAACTTGGGAGCACAAATTTTACGTGGCGGCCATTAAAAATATGTTTGCTGATTTACGAGATTAGAACCGACTTAAAAGAAATCTGCACCGAACAGTGTCAACACACGTAACAAAAGACGCTTTCAGGCAAAATCAAGTTTAATTTATCATTACTAGATGGCAGGAACATCGATGTGTTCAGTTAACCTACCTGTTCAGTTAACCCCACTCTACCCTACTAATTTTTAAGATTCTATAAAATTATCGTCCTTTATAAGTTACCCAAGTCATAAAACTTGAAAATTATGTGTATCTTTTGACTTTTTTTTTGTTTTACAATAAAAATATTCTAAAATACGAAAATTGATACTCAAATGTACATTATTGACGTTATCTCATGCAGTAAGCGTCAAAATAGTTCGATTTTTGTTAAAAATTCTTCGTTCATCTCAAACGTCGCATACAAATTTTTCGTACAAAATAATTAGAAAACATCTACGTTTCATTACTTTTCAAATGAGGTATAAAAATCACAAAACGATTAAGAATTGGCAAAAATATTACTATTATAAAAGGAGAAAGGACAAAGCAATAAAAATACTACAATTACAAAATCATACCTTAATACAGGATAATTTGTTTGAAACTACATTTCTTTATTTTTATAATACATTTTTAATATGCGCCCCCTTTTTCTAATGCACACACTTGCTCTTCTTATGATAGCTGATTTTATTACTGCCGAATTCCTAAGAGAGGCTTGAATTTCTTGTGCTGCATGTATTATCCTGTTTCTGAGGTCTTCTATTGTGGATTCGTATTTTAGAATATTTTTATTATAAAACCAGAAATAAAATCAAATGAAACACCCAATTTTCAAGTTTTATGACTTGGTTAACGTATAAAGGACATTAATTTTATAAAATCTTAAAAATTAGTATAATTCGAAAACGGCTAATTTTCGGACAGTAGTTCCTATAGTAAAATCGTCTCAGATTGGCTTGTACTATCTCCCCCCACCGGCTCCGCATCTATTTTCCCGTCACCCTGTATGTATTTCAGGGTATTTTGATCATAACAATCAAGCGATGGTTCAAATTCACCATACTCTGAATATAGATTTCTTTTAATATTTTTTCATTGTATTCGCATTTTGATTTTCTTAGCCCTGAACTTATTATTTTCTACTGATATTAAAAAAAAAACAGTTTAAATACAATCTATTTAGTCAGAACGTCAGACTCCCATCATTTTTATTAAAATTGTGACAGAGGCGAAACATGACATGGTATTTGATAAACTAAGAATATATAGATAGATGGCGCTTTGTACTGTCTTATTTCGATAGTATTTGATGTTGACTTTAAGATTCCTTTTTTATACCAGAAATATATTCTTGTCATGTATCTTTATCTCAAAATATTTTAAGTCATACATAAAGTGTCACTACGTATCAGTTAGACAAAATTGCTCGTTACTGGTCATGTTTGAAAATGTTGCTTTTAAATGTGGCTCTAGCAGTTGATGAAAAGTAGTCACGAGTATGTAGTTATTCGTGTACCTAGAATAACAAACTGTATTATTGCCATCACATGGAAATGCTTCCCTGTTTGTCCAAAGAAAGTTGTCAATTCCTACAATAGACTATTTATACAAGAAATTCATTATACGCCAATTTTATATATTGAATGTAAGCACTACCTATACTCAAGACATTCCTATTTTTATGAATGATGTAAGACAACACCTCTCATGTTGTATGTTTAGGAATTATATTATTGTTACCATTTTTTCTAGTTTAAATGTGATATATATTTAATCCTGTATTGTTGCAATATTTTATATATATATATATATATATATACATATATATTTTATCCAATAGACATTTTACTCAACATAAAATCTTTCATTCCTAAACCATACTGCCACAAACATTAAACTCATTAACAAAAGCTCTAGTAGATATGTTCTCAGCAGACACTTAGGTGCTGAAAATAAAAACATTTCAACTTTCATCAGCTGTTTATTAGCAGGACATATTTACAGTACATAATTTATAAATAATTGGTTAAAAATATCTATTTTGAACTCCATTTCAAATGAACTTTTTAACATACCTAATGCACAATTCTACTTCCGTTTACCGTCACTTGGGACAGAAAAATTAAAATACAACTATCTTATGAAGAATACCATTGTGTTAGCACATTTTTTACCGACCAATTGACCTATTTTTTTAAACATTTCTGTTTCATCTACTATTTTTTTCAAGTCTTTGAACAGCATCAAACGGTATTTGTACACAACCTGCATATGCATAACATCTCTCTGACTGGGCAGATATCCATCTATTGCATCTATGTCATCCACAAATCTCGCATATTTAGACTCTTCTAGCTTTTTGATACATTGCTCTATGGGGAACCACTGATAAGTTTCAGGACATAGCAGATACGAGGGAGTGAATCTACCTTTGTATCTCATCTTTTGACAGGAGTGTATGTAAAAACCCATGTAGTAACTATTTAGATGAGGAAGATGTTCCTGAAGGCTTCTGGTAAAGTATACTTCCCTATAAGGTAGAATTAAAAAGTTCAAGTCCCAGATGAAAACTTGTAGATATGTGCCAGTAAATGGGCACATCTAATTCAATTCTAGTACAGAAATTTGGAAAAAAGTTAATTTATCTGCCAATCAATCTATATTTTTGTATAATTTCCTTTATAATGTTTGAGCACAGATGGAGATTCTGATCAGTTTGAATCAAAAAATATATACAGACAGCTAAAAATCCTCGTTTTTTTCTTCTTTCTTGGTATAATATTCTTACCTTAAGGCTCCATAGGTACCTAAGGTCAGTCCTCTGTAATCAGGATCATAGAAAAAATATACAGAGCTGACACATCTAGGCAAAATGTCTATAACACCAACTGCAATCAGTTTGTCATCAATCCAATATTGTTGATGAAATGTCCCATATCCAGGACCATCAGGAACTCTTTCTGGCTAAAATTATATAACCTTTATTTTATTCTACTTTACAACAATATGACCGCATATCCAAATATATGGTTTTAAAATGTGGCCCCTTACATGATGTATTTTAAATAAAAGCAGAATAAAAATACCTGTAATGGACTGTCTATCAAAAACTGGCAAAAATTTTCTTCTTCACATTCATCAGGAAGGTCATTATGAATAATCATTTGATATGTTTGATAAAGTTGAGCCGTAACCTTAAAAGAATCACTTTCCTTTGACATTCTGCTTATTGCAATCTATAAGAATTCAAGAATGTAAATTTGATACTCAAGCACTGATTTTTTATGCTTCAGTTATTCTTTTATTCTGCTTCCATCTGTTAGAGATAAAGCTGATTTATAATTGCCAACCGTTAGTTTTAAAAAGGCCACCATGGTGGTCTGAAACATTAGTAAAAACTAATTGATACATCTACCATTTTACCACCTCTGTTTCACAAGATAGGACATGCAAAAACGAGAAGTTCTCTAGTACTTCTACTACCTATAACCAAATATGTCTTTAAACCTACAGCAAACCGCAAACACATGGTAAATGATGGTCCAGTACATAAATAGTGGTAGTAGTGGTGGGAAGGCAGAACCGGCCAACTAGGTCACCTTTGATCCTTTTTACCAACCCCATATCAGGAATATACAGGGTGTTTCAGTTTATTGTTGCATAACTTTAAGATTCGATAGAACTTGTACAATTAATGCATAAAGTCTATATAAACATGGGTCGAAAAATGCGTGGCTTCCGGGTGTTTAAATTTACTTTCTAAAATAGTTTTTTTTAAATATTTCGAACAATATTTGATGTATAACAGTGAAAATTGGTATACAAGGGTTTTTTGGTACGACAAAAGGAACCATGGGCATAGTTTTACTGTAGCCGCTAGAGGGCGCTCTCTGCTGTACCTGTAGTGTATTAAAATGACCGAACATTTTTTCTTAGTGCAATTTTTTGCGTTTTGAATAAAAAAACTGATTCTTCGCACTTTTCAACATAAAAAAGCTCTCTTGTGAGTTTTCGTTATAGTTAGCTGTTTTTGAGATATTTCGATTTTTAAGGTTCGATGCTTTTTTAATTATTTATGGGAAAATAATATGTTTTTTACATTTTCGATTTGGGCATTACAAGTAATTAAGATGATCGTTTAGATTGTGTTTTTAAACACAGCAATAATTCCTAACTCCAAATAAACACAAAAAACAGAATATTAATTTGTTTAGTTTAGTTGAAGGTGGCGCTGCCACTGGTATTTAGTTAATCTGAGTATTTTGGAGTACCTAATGCCGCTTTGTTATCTGGAGGGTATTCCGGTAGAGGACACATCATACGGTTTATGAAAGGAGGACCTATATAGCGGACTTTGTATGGAAATCCGAAATGTTAATGTATAGTTTCTTTAACTAATCTTGGATCAATGTGTCGTGGTGTCGGATATTCACGAATTAAATTTGATATATATTCAGTATTTCTGGTAGGTGACTTATTACTGGTTTATGAAAGGAGGGCCTATCCACGTGGAGGTGGAGATGTATATATAAATATATATATATATATATATATACGTAGTCGTGCCATAAGTTCTGTCCCATGATAATCTCATGATAAAAATGAAACAAGATAAGATATATTTATATGAAAGATATTATTTATTCGACAACATTTTTAGAATTCATAATCAAACAGTTTTATTCAAAATGTCCCCCCTTGGCCTTCACACACTGCTTCAATCTCGCGGGCCACTCATCTATCACTGCACGCACAGCTTCCAAAGGAATAGCTGCCGCTGATCGGATCAAATCCGCTTTCAGGGACTCGATATTACGGTGGGCTTTGGAGCAGGCCAACTGCTCTAGCAGGTCCCACAACTTGTAGTCTAAAGGATTGAGGTCCGGACTCCCTGAGGGCCAATCTTCCGCAGCAATGAACTCTGGCACATTGCTTTCCAGCCAGCGCTGCGTACTCTTAGCCTTGTGAGCGGGGGCGGAATCCTGCTGGTAGACCCAGTGTTGGTTGGCAAACAATGTACCACTTAAAGGCTTGACGATAGGATCCAGTATGTCGCTCTGATAGTTTGCCGCTTTTGTTTTCACGCCCTGTTTACAGAAATGGAGCTGAGTGACCCCTTCGTAGGACACCCCCCACCAAACCATGACTGACGCAGGGTGGTGGCCTCTCTCAACTCTCGGAATGATCTCCGAAGCTTCCTGTGAACTCCTTGCATACACTTTGTCATTTTGTCGGTTGAATTTTTCTTCTATGGTGAAGATTTTCTCATCCGTGAACAAAATCTTTCGGAATCCCCCAGCTGCGTACCTCTCCAAGAGCTTCTTGGATCTTGTCGCCCTGATGTGTCGCAAGGTGGCCGTAAGTCGCTGGCCCGTACGTCTCCGGTAAGCCCCTAGCCCTAGGTCTTGTTTAATGATGCGCGACATCGTCCGGACAGGAATCTTCATTTCCCTGGATAGGATCTTCTGCTTCCGGAGTGGATTCCTTTGAATCCTGGCTTTTACGGCTTTGATGGCTGCTGGAGTCCTTACTTGACGAGGTCTTCCGCTTCTTGGCCTGTCATCAACAGAGGACGTCTCATTGTACCGCTGAATGGTCCTAGACACAAATTTACGCGATATTTGAAGGCCGCGTAAGAGTTCAAAAATCTGACTAGCACTGTGATTACACTTATGTAAAGCTATCACTGCAATACGGTTCTCTGCCTTGCCCCACTCCATCGTTATGCTTCGAGAGATCAATACAAACTGAGGTATATGTAATTACCCGAAAAGCGCTTAATCAACTGACACCACAATGTAAACAATCGGACAAGTATTAACAGGTCTACACTTGTTTGAAAACGAGGGACAGAACTTATGGCATGACTACGTATATATATATATATATATATATATATATATATATATATATATATATATATATGAGAAGTAGTCATTGCCAAAGCCAACGACTAGTTGGGTACAAAATACAATTACTTGTTAGTTGGGACTGCATTCCGATTGTTTCAACAAAATGTCTCCCCACGTGTAATATTTTTAGCTTGTTCGGGTTTATTGATATAATTTTTATTTTTTCTTAACTTTTAACGAAGGTATCTGTCGTTTTTTAACAAGCCCAATGTCCCCGTCCTTTTGTTTTTATACTGAACACAAGTTCGATTTTCTCTACGTTCTTTCTGAAACACTTTGTGGCTGCAACCTCACCGACGAAATCCTGATGATGGCTCAAAAGAGTCAACTTTAGCCTAAAAGTTTTGCCAATTTCCCAACTAACAAGTAATTGTATATATATATATAGCCATCTAATGGTGACTGGTTATTGAATAAACCTGTTGCAGCAATGGAATGTATATACTTAGGTATGTTGATCTTGCCCCAATCTAGCGCGTGATGTAGACAACACAACATCCATGGCTCGGGAATTAACTTCCGAGGCGGAGATTCGAAACCGCAAGCCTCGGGTTGATCAATTGCTAGTTTGACAAGCTAACCACTCAGCTATCCAGACCACCTGGTCAAGCACATAAACGACTCAATATATCTTTTTATGACTATACAATAAATTACCTTGAGTGGTGTGGTCACTAAGAATCTAGTGAAGCTTTTCATTGAAAACTTTTCAGGAGGATCATTGTGGACCCTTATTTGATATTTTTTATACAACTCGTATTCAGCATCTCTAGTCCTATCAAACACAATTGATGCTTCACCTGTTGGGACAATATGGAGCTGAGAAAAGAATAACTATCAGCAAAAAAATAATACTTAGAAAAGAATCGACAGGGAAAAGAAAATTTGCCAGTCTGCTTGAGTTCAATGTGTACAATATAGAATTGTGTATCAGTACATGTTAGAACTAGACAGAAGCCAGCTGAAGAGCGAAGGTCATTACCACGTTGCCTAGCGACGGTGACGCAGATGGTCGTGCAATCTGCCGCGTTGCTAATATGTTACACCAGAAAACGTTCACACAGGCTTCTACAATAAGTAAGGTTACTGTCAAACCCAAAAAGGTGATCTTTTCGAACATTTTATTTGAGATTTTGTCTTCATTTTAATTAGTTAATTATTTCAATTTTGAGGCGACTTAGTGTTTTAATTTATTTTAGAATTATCCTTATGTCTACCGATAGTGATAAAATTAAATCATCCTGAGTTACCAATGACAAATACACCAACACTCCCCAATTAGTGCTACATGGTTACTGACCAAAATCGCTCATCTATGGTCATGGCGGTGGAAACCTAGCCTTGGAATCTATGAGATGCGGTATTGCCAAGTCTACCATTACAGAATTTGGGAAGATCCTAAGCTCTCAATTCGACCTAAAATGGAGCGCCGTTAGGACCGATCCCCAACAGAATCGACACAATTCAAAATGTATATGCTCAAAATAAAAACATTATTTGGGCGTAGAGAATAAACTAACGCATATTTTCAACATGCATCTTAATTCAAGGAATTAGTGTAACATATTGGCAACGAGGCAGATTGCCACGTCAGCGTTTTTAGGCAACGCGATGATGAGCTACGCTTTCTAACATATGTGCCTATACATACTTCTCTCTCCTACACATTGATTTCAAACCGACAGACAAATTTGGTTCTCAGTGTATATTATACCTTTAATTTTCCTTTTGCAATGTCAGGTATTTCTTCCATGAATTGTTCAAGTGTTTTTGGAGCCTGAGGTGTCTTTTCTTCCAAAACTAATCCTTTCTTCAGTAACTTTTCTTTTTTCCTTTCAAGCCTCAATACCTTTGCTTTTTTACAGGGTGGTCTACTTTGTTCCATGGGATTTTCAGCACAGCTATTTGACTTATGTGTCTGATTATTTAATGGTTCTATGACACAAAAAAATAATATAAAACCATGAATCTGTAAAGCATATTAGGTTCTATAATAAGTAATATATATTTACCAGAATTTGGTGCACTTATATTGAGTTTAACATTGCTATTTTCAGGTTCAATTGGATTATCTTTAATATCAATATTGCTAATTTCTCCACCTTCTTGAAAGCCTGCTTTAACTTCTCCAATATTAATAGCTGCAATATCTTTCTTAAAATCAACATGTTCTTGTCTGTGAACTTCATCTTCTACATGATCACATTCAGAATCTTTTTTAAGAATCCCATCTTGCAGGTATTTATTGAACTTTTTGATTACCTTCTTTTGGGATTTGGTAAGAGAAAAGTGAAGTGCATCACATCTAAAACATAAAAAAATAGTTATCACACCCATCTTGCAATCTTAGAGACAACAGCATTGAATAGAGTTAAAATAAAAAGGATGTTTTACTTTATTGTATATTGAGGGCAGCATGTTTCATCCATAGTTGGTTTGTAGCAATATTTTCCTGATCTTCTCCATCCCCTATCAATCAAGTTTTGATAGTCCTCTACAGTCAAAGTGTCAGCCCACATACCTACAAATGAAAATAGTCAACCAGGCCATCTCAGATTTTAGTCAAAACCTAAAGAGCAGTACGAGATTCTAATAATTTTTTTTGAAAGTTCCGTTTCATTTTGAAAAAATGTCAACTTGATGCCTAGATAGTTCCTCGTATGCAAATAGTACACTCTGCATTTGCTCACTCTGAGCGACATCAAACGTGTCCATCTATGGAGGAATGACATGCTCAATGATCAAGCTGCAAGTCAGTTCCCCACCATGCTTTATGCTTTGTTGGTTGCAGAATGTCAAGATAGTCTGTAGAGTATACTAAAGATGTGTAGTTGAGTAGCAGAGAAGGAAGATCACATCTGGATGTCTATATTTGCTATATGAGAAAATTATTACTGAACATGCTGCCCATAAAATATTATACATTACCATTTTCCCCATTTTTCTTTTTTAGGAACAGTGCATCACATACAAATTATTTTTGCACTGCCTCATATCTAGTTGCTTTTTTCTATTTCCCCTACATCAAATAAATTTCTATGAAATTTAAATGACTGGAAATACGAATTAATGTGAAATGTAATAACTGTCTTACGTTTCATAAATATTCCTTATGTACTATACAACCAATGGTATTATCATCAACACAGATTATTAGTACACAAAACCTCACTATGCACCTATGCACTGCAATTTCCTTCCAGTTATCGAACACGACTTACAGCTTGATAGCTGGAGCATCATAATGTTTAGGCAACACTTACAGCTCTGGAACAAGTACACATCGTCAGAGCGGTCCGTAGGACCTTTGCTCTTGGTTAAAGTCTTGTAAGTCAGTAGGTCTGTCAGGTCTGGTTGCCCAGATACCAAACAAAGTCGGAAGAAAGAAGGGAAGAAGAAAGGAAGGAATGAAGGAGACCAAAGAAAAAAGAAGTGCGTCAATTTAAGAGATGCCTTGGCATTGCTAATCAGTATTCGGCAATTTTAAATTGATCCTAAAATTAATTTTGAGATTGGTTGTTGAAAAATTATAATTTTGGTTGGACCTAAAGTCGCACGATTTAATTATGTTCACAGTGCGAGTCGCGGCCTTGTGTGCTTGCGAACTTGCTCGACTGTGTAGTCTATTGACTCGCGCAACAAAGGTTTGCTATGCGATTCCGCTTGACTATAACGTAGCTGCGCTTGTTGTTTGATGTAGTCCGTTAGGTAAGGGGTGTCAAGGTCTTTGTGAAGGGTCTCGTTGCACACATACCATGGGACGTTAGTGATTGTACTCAAGGTTCTTTTCTGCAAAACCCGCAGGCTATGCAAATGCGTTTTGGCGAGAAAGCACCAAGCCGCACTTCCGTAAGTGATCGCTGGTCTAATAACCATCTTGTAGCCAAACTTTGTTGATCAAACTTAATTTTGATGTTCCACATAGCATAGGATGAATGAATAAATCTTGAAATTAGAGGCATTCCGGCCACCATAAGGAGCCAGTGCATAGGCCGCTTAAGCGGGCCCTTATGCACCTCTACAATCCTTAGATCACAAGCCTCGCCCTTTTAGCGAAGTTGAGAATCGCCTAGAGTCCAAGCTCCTTGACGTCCTGAGGGTCCAAAGTAATGGACCCCAGTATAGTCTGCCTATAGTAGCTCAGAGCTTCACAGCGAGACAAAACGTGCGCCGATGTCTCTTCCTCTACCCCGCAGCGTTCACACAAGGGATCATCAGCCACCCCCATCACGTGCAGGTGACGCCTTAACATGTTATGGCCAGACAACAGTCCTACCAGCAACCTTAGGTTGGCTCTATCCAGAGATAGGCAGAAGCGTCCATCCTCAACACTGGGCCCTTCAATGAGTTCCCGTGCCTGGCGGAGATGTCTGGAGGTGCTTCTCCATTTCTGAGAGTGTTGTCTTGCAACCCACGTCTCCATTTTCCTCCTAGCTTTATGCGCGGTCACTCCTAGAGCTGGCTCAGGACCAACGAGCTTGCTGGCTGATCCTGTCTTCGCCAGAGTGTCCGCCGTCTCATTGCCCCTTATCCCAGCGTGCCCCGGTACCCATATTAACGATACCGGATGCCTCGCTGCGAGGCAATCCAGAGCCTCCCTGCACTGCAATACAAGACTCGAAGTAATCTTACAGGCATTTAGTGCTTTCATTGCCGCCTGGCTGTCGAATAAGATTGTTATTCTTCTCCTAGGCCCACCCTCCTCCAGAATGTGAGTTACACAAGCCAGAATCGCAAAGATTTCCGCCTGGAAAATAGTGGTGTATCCACCGAGAGGCAGAGATAGCCTAGTTCTAGGCCCAGAAACCCCAGCACCTGAGCCCTCTTCGCTCACTCCGGAGGGTCCCCGGCTACCGGCGTCCCACTCCTCCCTCGTTGGATACTCCACAATAAACTTGCGGTTGAAGCGATATTTAGGGGTAATACGATCACTCCTGCTTAGAAGGACGGGGTCCTCCCTTTGCAATTCGACTAAGATGGCAGTATGCCCCTTGACAGGATTCTAGAAAGCCCAGCTGCCCTGACTCCACAGTCGATGAGCGACTGCTCTCGCTTCACCGCGGATCACCAGATCCAACGGTGGGAGATCCAACAGAGCTTCCATTGCACTCAATGGCGTTGTTCGTACTGCGCTTGTAATACTAATACAGGCCAAACGCTGAATTTTATTGAGTTTGGCCTTAGTTGTCTCAGTTCTAATGCAAGGCCACCAGACCAGGGAGCCGTACAAGAGAGATGGACGTACTATCGTCGTGTAGAGCCAGTATACCACTTAGGGTTTAACATGCTCTCTCCAGTTCAGTTTGCAATCCAGGATAATTCCCAGATATTTCACTGACTGGGACAAAATTAATCTAGTCTCAAAGAAGGTCGGCATGACCAGCCCGTCAAGCCTTCTTCTCCTAGTGAATAGGATCAGCTCGGTCTTTTCAGCATTAACAGAAAGATCGACTTCCCTACACCACGATTCCACAGAGCGCAGAGCCTCCTGCATAATTTCCGAGACTGCTGAGCCTAAATAAGAGTTCGCTCACCACAGCAGAACTTCAAGGTCATATTAAAGACCTTAAGGTGCGTAAGCATAGGGTAGAGTTGCAGAAACGAAATTTGGAATTTAGTTTTTAACGCTTCAGTTTGCTTCTGCCAAGTCATCCCCTTGTCAAGAGTGACACCCAGATACTTAGCAGAGCTTTCCCATGGTACCCGAGCTCCAATCACTGAAACCTCAGACGGGGCGCCGCTACGTTTTTTAGTACAATAGATTGCCTGCGTTTACGAATGATTAATTTTGATCAGCCACCGATTCGCCCATTCCAATACCTCCTTCACTGCACTTTGCAGCCTGTCGTGAACTAGATCCCCAGAACACGACTGGGCCACCAGGGCAGTGTCATCAGCATAGAGATGGTTCACAGTTGCTGGGGCAAAGGACGTCATGAATAAAAAGTGAATAAAGGACTGGTCCAAGAACCTGCCCTGAGGGACACCGGCTCTGATGGGCCGTGTTGTCGGCAGAACGTTATTAATTTTGATCTGAAATTTCCTACCCATGAGGAAGGATTTCAAAAGTTTTGGGAGCCAGAAGGGGAAGTCCTTATGGATCAATTTGTAGAGAAGTCCCTTATGCCACACCTTGTCAAATACCTTTGAGACATCCAGAAGCAAGACGCCAGTACTTTCATTATGAGTGAACCCCCTGGTTACTCGATCAACAAGCCTAATGGCCTATAGCTCCTTACTATGCTCAGACTAAAAGCCGAATTGCACGTCAGGACTCACATTGTGGTCTGCCGAGAAATTTTCAAGGTGACGTAGAATCACCTTTTCAGCGAGCTTAGAAGGAGCTGATAGACTACTGGGGCGGTAATCCTGGGGGAATATCGAACCCACGTTCTTTGGAAACATTATGACATCAGCGGTCTTCCACGCCGCTGGGAAGTGCTGGGTCCTTAGCATGGCATTGATTATTGCCACTAAATAAGTTAAGGACTTCCGCGAAAGTAGCTTCAGCGCCTTATTAGTGTTTCGATCCTCTCCAGGTCCTTTAATATGACCTTGAAGCTCTGCTAATGTGCACTGCGGAATCTCAGGAGATTCCAGTGATGTGCCATGCAGCTCTTCAGTTGAGGAATCTTCTGAAGATTCCTCTGAGGAAAAATCACTAAGGGAGGCACTACTGCCACTGACCCTGTTGGCCCTTCAATATCTCCTGACGGATCTTACAATATGTTGCTCTTCGTCGAGGTCATTATCAAGGACATAGTTGGGAGAGAACTGACTTTCCATTGCATCAATGAAAACCTCAACCTTTTCCTCTGTCCTACAGACTGTGCCCCCAGGACCGGGGCTGTGCGGGAGTTGTTCTCGCTTTCCGATTCTGAGCGATTTTGCAACTTTCCAGGGAGGAATACTTGAGTCAAGTATCCTCGACTTGTCCTCGACAGAAAGTCGCTCTATTGCTTATTACAGAATTCATGAAGAGCATTTCTCACTTCGTGAACAAGATTCATTGCTCTGCGAATGTCATCTGGGTGACAAGACCTCTTCGCTTGCTTAATTGCAGTTCTTTTGTCAGAAATTTTCTGACGAACGTCTGCAGGGAAAGAAAAACCGACATTTGAACATACGTAATGCCCCAGCAAGGCACGTCCCCCTTGTGCTCAGGGCAGGCAGTATAAGTCTTTCATACATTACTGTTAATATTACATAATTTGTAAATGCTTTCAACATTTCAGTCTCTTCAGCTGAAGGTTTATATCTACTGCCGTTCTATTATTCAAAAGATTATTGTGTACTCAAAAACATTACCAATTGAAACACTTCCATTGGGACTTTTACAATATCCACATTTGTGCCTTTCAGTCTCATCAAACCATTGTACTAAGCTTTTTTCAGTAAGGTCCACACTCATGGCTCTTGCACTGTATAATAAAGGATCGATGAACAGTATAAAATAGAAGAAATCAAACTTTGACAACACAAACACAAATCACAGATTCTTACTTCTTAACCTTCTTTATGAACATTTCACGGTTTTTCTTTGACAGCTAATTTGACGAAGCTCTAGTAATACTTAATTTGTATAGATGGCGGTACCTGATAAGTAGAGGTGAATCAGTTCATCTAATGCGGATCCCACACGATACTTCCAAGCTTGGGTACAACGTTGTTTACAACGTTCGACACCGCACAATTGGCAAGTGTGTCTCCTACACGATAGGATGAACTTTCTAGTCTCGGGCGTTCGACGCATGGTGACGCCGGTGTCAGTGTTGCGCGTGAACCTTTACAACTGAAGGAAAAATTATACAAAATGAACGATGAAACAATTTTTTCGAGTGCCGAAAAATAATTTCAGATCTGTCTTCAGCGGCCAAAACTTGAGTCTGTCAAAAGCCCCAGAACGTCAAAAAACAAAGTTTGACCGTTTTTGTTTGGTTTCCGATGCCGCCATCACTGTGCTGATTTTCAAAAACTGCATAGCTTTTTCGTCATTTTCATAATCGGTGAAATGTTGTTAACAAGACGTATTTAGAACTAAAACGCTTACAACTTTGGACAAAAAATTAGAATACTCATGTTTTAAGAAGTTGTTATGATTATTCAAGTAGTTATTTCAAATAAAATTACTATAGTATTAATCCTTCATTTTGTCCGCCCCTACAAAATTCGAACCACATAATTTAAATACTGTATATTGTAAACATTTCTTCCACCTCAGTGGCCTTCTTTAGTACAATCACATTTGAAGGGTTGAGTGGATGAAGGTGATAAGTAACATTTGGGTTAAAATGAGTTCAGTTTATTTGGTGAAGGCTGTAAGTGAAATTCTGTCTGGAAAACTGGTTGTTAAGAATAACAGTTATTGTCCACAATAGGACCAACCTGTTTTCGGGCCAGAGTACTACTTCTAGGCTTCACCAAATATATTGACCTCATTTTTTATCCAAATATTATTTACCACCTCCATCCAGTTAATCATCACGTGAAATCGTCGTCAGACAGTGACGTCGATTCTATCTGGCACGTCGCCCACAAATTAATGGCCGTTCCACGTCGAAAAAGGGCGTGGAAACCACGTGTATAAATCACGTGAAATCGCACACAAATTCAAAGGACTTTCCACGTCGAATAGGGCTGTTAATACTACGTATAAAGAGGTATGAATACATTCGTTTCACCTGAAATATACGTGTCCTTGCTGGCTGGGTAGGACCAATCGGGATTCAATCCTAAACAGATTCGATACAATTTACAAATGTGTGCGCTCAAAATAAAACCGTTATTTGCCTTACACACTTCTCGCGCTTCTCTCGTACAGACAGAACTCGCGCCCTTTGGCCAAATTTGGTCTTCATCGTATAAGCTAATAAAGGTACCGAATCAGTATTATACCCTATTTCACGACTATCCATCATGGTAACATGACAGCTTATTATCTAGTGTAATATCTCAAAATTCCCCATATCAGCACATGACACATAATTCTGACGGATCCGTCAACGCCAGGAAGTAAGAGCCGTATTTTGTTGTTTTGGTTTTTTGTACGCTACAGATTCATTTTGTACTTGCTAACACTTTATTTGGAAAAGTTCATTTGCATACAAAAACAAAACGCCACACACAAAAGTTTCTACTAGATTTATATCGGATTAATTATTACCAACGTTTCAGACTAACACAAAAATGTCAGTTGCTGATCAGCTATTCACCACAGTAAACGTCAAAGCGTGATGGATATTCGTGAACTAGGGTATTATACATCTCATGATAACCTGGGCCATACTGATGTTCTCTATTCTTTCTAAACCCATTTAAATATAGAAACGGAATAAGAAATGTAAATGTGCCAAATACGAAGGCATCGTAGAAAAATTGACCGACGACCGCAAAGACACAAACAAATAAAAATAATAGTTTACAAAAAACTAAAAGAACACGCTTTTATAGCTAACCGTACTAAAAAGTAGAAAATAATTTTTAATTACAAACAGTTTATATTACAGTAGTAGATGGTCGAACAATAATTCATAATTAATGACCTCAAAATAAAATTATAATAAAATTTAACTTAACAGAATAATTCAATTCAAAGTAAAAAGCGTGGTGTTTGATATATTAAATGTTACAATCATTCTATTGGCAACTATCTATGAGATGAGAGTTATGAAAATGTAGTAAAATGGTTGTTGAGAAACTACTCTATAGATGTTGCTACTGCCTCATAGTCAGTGAGCTACAGTGCAGTTGAGCCAGTAGGCGAGGAATGAACTAGCGGCTTTCTAGAGCACATGTTGGGATTGTGTTTTTTTTTTCACATCATTTAGGTTTCGTAGGTACGTAATAACCCTGCCGAGAATCTCTCCACCATAAATTTTCAAATCTGTACATAATACCAGCGACACCCGTTACACCGTTGTCAAAGGTCACAGCCAAAGTCACAGCACTGTCAGGTAACTATTACAGGATTCTAAGTCGTATTAATAAAACCACTGCCCAGACCCACTACGCACACGATAGATGACGCTCAGCAACGTTAGAACAGGACTACTGTAGTGTGACATCTATAATTTTTAGCTTAAAACCTACACGATAATGAGAAATCTTTACAGATTTCTAGAACCACAAGTTATTGCCGCGCAGCTGTAACCTTTATCCAGTAGATGGTACAATTCTTCATTTTGTCACATGCCATGCGAACTTGACAAAACCTAACCTAATAAAAAATTCTAGAGAAAAGAAGCAAAATACGAAATTGGTCTATTGAATAACGAAATGGCCCTGTTTGGACTCAGGAATATCTTGCGACAAAGCCAGGCTGTGAGCGAAACAATCCTCTTTTCTAACAGGTAATAATTGAGCTGAAATTTGATTTAAATGCTCTATGAGGTAATGAGCATAAAATGTTTTTGGGAAGTTGGATGGTATGACAGTATTACAGAAAATTTAGTGAATAGCATCTACATTTTATTTATCGTGCTCAAAATAGTATAAATGAGTTTCACACATCGTTGTTCTGATATAAAAATCCTCAACATTCAGTAGGACTCCAAAGGATTGTAACTAAACCATTGTTGACACATCTTAAGGCATTGCATTCAATTGTCAGACTGAAACAAAATCTATGTTAATATGGTTTAACAGTGAAGAGCTCAAAATACCCACTTTTGTCAGATGTAAAACAATATAAGCTTATTCAGGTATCCCAGAACTATCTTGATTTTGCAGGAGGGCCACTAGCAGTTCAGAAAGGTTCCCTTTTAAAACAAAAATGGAACTGCAGATAATGTGTATAATTGCTCCCTCCTCTATTATAAAATATATGTTCTGAAATTGATTTCATTGTATTTCTTAGTGTATTCTGAAGTTTCTCTCGAACTACAAAATATTTCTCTACAAAAACACTCAACCTTGATAGCTTCTAAGTCAGTTCCAGATAGAAATGCAAACTTTTCATCAAACTGAGCTCCAATATCTCATATTCTCTCATTATTAAAATATTTTTTGTGTTATACAATGCCTTCATTCGAATTACCTTCCACCCCTCAAAAATATTTGTATTACATGTATAATGTGGTATTTTTTTATTTTCAATTGTAACTTCTGGAAACCTACAATTATGTCAAAGATTTAGTAATATAACCCATCAAAAAGATTCTAACAAAATAAAGCTTATAAAAAGGATGACTCTAAACTGAAAAAATATATAAGGTGTAATGTTTGCATTTTTTGAGTAACTATATTTTGCTATCTCTGATTCTTTGATTATAAACTAAAAACTCAGCATATATGAAGTTGTCATGTATTGATGTACATGGTTTATGTTACCACTGAATCTTCAAGAGTGAGTTTCAACCAAATCATTCATATTGCAGGGAAAATCCCGTTTATGTACACGTCAGTTTTCAGATAATACACCAATGTTCTTCTGTGTCTTTTTAACTTGTAGCGTGCTCTAACTCTGCTATGGTGGTGTCATTCAAGGCTGTGAATAAAGCTATTTTTGACAAATTGTTTCTTATATTTATTTTGTATCAATGTTACTCTACAAATTAATTAACAATAGAAATAGTTTCATAACTATTGATTCTCCTGAAGATGCAAAAGACTCAGCTGCAGATATTTTCCTTCTAGATTCCTCCAATAATTAGGATCTAATCCATACAAAACAGTCCAACTCACTTTTTTTTACAAAATTTTATGAAACAAATACAATTAACTACTTTTTATTAAAATGCCTTTGTATCTTTAATTTAGTCCACTCTAAATTCTTCATACATTATTTTCTATTTTACTGATTTTTAGAACGATAGTTTTGTCAAATGTTCGAAGAAATACTACAGCAGAGCAAAAAGCTGCTGAACAAAAAGATCCACCAGCAGAAGGAGAAATAAACGTAGAGTTGGATCAGTTGAATAAGCAGGTAGCAGAGTTGAAACAGCAGAACTCAGATCTATTGGTAAGAAAATAATTTCTTGATTTTTCTTTTTGCATCTTTGCAAACAAATAATGTTATCATTTGGGCATGCAAATACAAATACATACAAATATACTGTTGGCGCTCTTACTTGGCGAAAGTCTTCCATCACTTTGCTGTACAAGTTATAAAAATACTGGATATGTTGTAACAGACTTTGCTCTTAGTTAAAAAGCATCAACAATATTTACATCTTATCTACTTTGTTTTTTTTAACACACTTCTATTAGCTTGACCTGTATGTAATGGAATCTTTCAACCTAATTTTCACCAATTTCAAAAAGTTTCATTAATTTTTAATTCGAAAATTTTGCTCAGGGGTCAAGAGCCGATGACAATACCATAATTTTGGAAATCAATACGAATTTGAGAATTTAAAAAAAAAATGGAAGTTTTAAATTTGGAAAAAACTGAAGCAGATTGAACTAATAAGTAGTAAATAATTTAAAGTGTGGGAGAGTTTGTTACTGCAATAGAAACTCCTACCATTGAGTATGACTAATTAATTTGGAATAATATCAATATAAAATTAAGATATTAAAAAAATATCTATAGTAGAAAAGAGTGGGGTGGTAGATATTAAATGTTAGAATTATTTGTTTAGTAGCTACAGCAGACGCTCGTTAACGTAAACACGGGATAATGAAAACTTGCGCTAATGTAAACACAAACTTCGTTCTATAGGGTCAAACGGAACGCGCGATAACGAAAACAATGTGTACGCTCGATAACGTAAACAACTCTCGGCGCACGGAAACAGCGCGACGGTAAAATGCTGAAGAAATGATGTAGAGTGTAGGGGATTTACCTCTGCGATAAAATACGACAAACTCGGTCAGTCGTATGATCGTTTAGGATACGTTTATACGTACGTATGTATTTCATTTTTGAACTTAAGTGAATACATTGCACGCGTTAATATATTTTACGACTATGGCATCCACATCCTATAAAAGAAAGTGTTTAAAGTTGAGTGAGAAAGTGAAAATCATAGACGAAGTTGCACTAGGTGCGGGAGTGACACAGTTAGCAAAAAAATATGGAGTATTGAAAGCAACAATCTGTAAAATTAAGCATATGAAAACTCAAATTTTACAAAGAACGTGCAACACATTTGGAGGTCCGGGAAAAAGAAAAAGTTTAAAAAATGCGAAGGCACCTAAAATGGAAAATTCCCTGTATAAGTGGTTTTTAAAACAACGGGAAAATCATGTCCCAGTTAGTGGCGAAGTACTTAAACAGAGAGCGAGACTGTTAAATGAAAAACTGAAAGAAACTGAAAATTTCGTAGCTAGTGATGGCTGGCTACAACGATTCAAAACAAGATATGGAATTCGACTGCTGTCTATATCTGGTGAAAAATTATCAGCACAACCAGCATTAGTGCAACCATTCAAAGAAAAATTGATGAAAAGAATTACTGAGCTAGATTTAAGAATGGAACAAATTTTCAACGCAGATGAAAGTGGCCTTTATTGGAAAATGTTATCAAAGAAAACCTATGCTGCATCATTTGAAAAATCTGCCCCGGGAAGAAAGCCGGAGAAACAACGAATAACGTTTCCAGCCTGCACTAATGCTAATGGTTCACACAAAATAAAGCCACTGGTAATTGGGAAAGTAAAAAATCCGCGTTCATTTAAAAATGTTAATATCCCTGTTGATTATGACTGTTCAAAAACTGCTTGGATGACTAGCAGTATATTCCTGAAATGGTTCCACATTTGCTTTCTCCCTCAGGTATGACAATCAATTATCACAAATGCTCTATTCATAATTTGAAGATGTGTTTTCAATTTGTAGGTAAAAGGTTTCCTAAAACAACAGAAGCTTCCAATAAAAGCGTTGTTATTATTGGATAATGCACCAAGTCATCCTCCCGAGCAACAACTGAGGAGCAGGGATGGGTCAATTTTCGTCATGTACATGCCGCCCAACGTAACACCGTTAATTCAACCGATGGACCAGAAAATAATAAGACTCACCAAACTATACTATAGGAAGTTTCTACTTTCGTCTGTTTTATCAAAGAATCCTGAAAACTTATCTGAGGCTTTAATAAAAGTAACATTACGAGAAGCTGTTTTAGATTTACAAATGGCCTGGAATGAACTTAACCAGCAGACTATTCAAAAATGTTGGAACAATCTCTTTTGTACCAATAATGTCCCCTTAAGCGTAATTAGAGAACGTTTGCGATCCAATAATGATAATGTTATTACTGTGTCATTGAATGTTGTTGATTTATTGAAAACAGTGAATCCCAACATTGTTTGTACTCCTGTTGATATTAATTTATGGAACGGAGATAAGCAGACGAATGATGCTGATAAGGAGGAGGATATGGACAGTGAGGATGATGAGAACGATCCCATTGAAGTCAGAAGTGTAGTGACTGACGCGCAAGCTATACAAGTTTTTAACCAAGCTTTAGATTGGGCTGAAAGAAAAGAAGTTTCATACACGGATATTTTAGTTCTTCGTAAATTACGGGCGCAGGCATTGGAAGACAATGCTAAGCGCAAATTTACGCAGACAAAAATTGTTAATTATTTTTCTTCTAATTAAAAAAATACTTATCGCTGTTAGAATATTTGTTTATTTTGTTATAAATAGTATGTATTAAACGTTTCTTTTAATAAATCAAATATTATATAAATCACGTTCGCTAATCTAAACATTTCGAAAATGTGAACCACACTTGGATTAAATTAGTTTACATCATCGAGCGTCTGCTGTATTTACAAAATTGCAGTTATGAAAATATACTCGTAGTTAATTGCATTTTACTATAATTTAATCAGAAACATGTAGAGCATGATGTTTTGGTTCATGCGGGGTCGCTAAAAAAGGGTCAAAGGTCACTCAGTTGTCAGGCTTGGCCTCCACACCACTATTATTACCGCACGTGCAAGCAAACTTCCTCTAAGTAGCAACATTCCCGAAACATTGGACCGAGAATTTTGACAAAAAATATTCGATTCTCTTAACTACGCGTCGTAAATATACTGTTTATGTCGGGTATAAGTCCCAATGTCTTCTGCAGAATGGCCTGATAGCATACATACATGAACTTGTAAAAACCAATCACCAAAATTCAAACATTGTGCTACCTATACCGGGTATTCTAATACTTACTTATCCTCATTTTTTGCCCATTTTCCGATTCAGTGTCATGAACGTTTTACTACTTGGCATGATGAGTTTTCCATATTACTTTATGTTTTCGACTGCATTAATAAAGACCGCGAGAAGAAAAAAATAATTCGCTTCCCCTTAGAATCCATATTATGCCACTGTTTATTTTTTCAACATGTCATTTTTATACTCATTGTGCTCATCAGTTACGATGATGACGCTCTTTAGTCATCGCGACATTTGTTATTCTGAATTTTGAAAACGAACATCAAAAGCTTATATTTTAAGCAGAGCACTAGTACACCAGCATGTACCTGTAATGAGTAACCATACAAGTAAAGTTCATTTGTAGGACAAATACAAGCGAGCTTTGGCAGAGAGCGAAAACATGCGCAGCCGTCTTACTAAACAGATTGCCGAAGCGAAGATATTCGGCATTCAGAGCTTCTGCAAAGACCTGCTAGATGTCGCTGATGTACTGAACAAAGCCACAGAGACTGTGCCAAAGGAAGAGATAAATGATAAGAACCCGCATTTGAAAAGTCTATATGAAGGTCTAATGATGACTGAAGCTCAATTGCAGTCGGTGTTCAAGCGACATGGATTGGAGCAAGTAAATCCCTTGAACGAGAAGTTCAACCCAAATTACCATGAGGCGCTATTCCAACAGGTATAGTGAGATTGGCACATGTTTGATACCCTTTATGACTTTTTATTTCCCGCGCCTACTGGCGGAAAAGTATTGTGAACGCGAATACTTTCTAAAATGAGATATTATGTTTTTCAGATGTTATATGACATCTGCGTCATGAAAAACCATGTCACTCATTTCCATCGGTCTCTTCGCTAATCTTATATCCGCCTATAACTCGAGAAATACCACTCGGATTTCGTTGAAATTCCCACAGTGTTACTACTAGTACTACTACCAAGGACGCAGAGGCTTTTTGAAATTCAGTCTAGAGCTGGCGCGGAGCTAGTTGTAAAAACACGAAAAACCTAAAACCCGCTCAAACTTCGTTTTTTGATGTTGCAGAGGCTCCTGATCATTTTCAGAAAAATTTTTGTAGGGGTTGAAATTCAGTTGTTTCGGGTTGTAGGGGGTGGGAGGTAAGATGGCGATTCCAGAAGTATACCATGAAAACCAGTGGCATGCACAGACAAGGTTTAATGGTTGGTAAGCTTCTACGCTACAGGTTGAGGATAAGACGCGCATATTATCCGATTAATGTTTTAATGGGGTGTCATAGCTTTCTTCACATGCCGTATTGCGTTTTCAGTATCAAGCTTCACAGTGGAGGCTAAACCTTTTCATAAGAATATTTTAGTATTTTATCGTAAATATTCAATCCTAAATATCTCCAATACGAGTTATCTGACAAAAAGTCCTCGGGAGACGAAACTTATGGGAAATTGAATGGTATTTCATAAAACGCACTTCTTTTCTCCGAAAAGGCCAGTGGCGTAGAAATCATTTCCTACTAGGGCTGTAGGCATCACGTTTCTACGTCCCTGCCTTAGTTTGGGCCGGAAAACTCTGTGTGTTTATTGTTAATGATGTGTTACTGAACGTCTAAAATCCTAACTCAGTGTCTTTAACCGCTACGAAGGTTTTTTTTTCATTTTTCTAAATAAAACTGTATCTCGGTCGGGGAGCATTTTTGGACCCGTATTTATAGGAACTTTTTTTGTTATTTTTGGATATACTTTCTACCCTAGAAATATTGGCAAGTCTTTCTCAAGCACCCTGTACACATAAATAAAATGGCCAAAGCTGTTGTAATTATATGTGTTGAAATTTTTTTTTAGGCGGTCCAAGGGAAAGAACCCGGAACAGTGGTTGTAGTATCAAAAGTAGGATATAAACTCCATGATCGAGTGGTTAGACCTGCTCTGGTGGGTGTTGCAAAATAATGTGTGAATACTGACATCTGAATCATGTTGTCACCGATTTAAGTGTATTTTTTAAATTATATATGGCACAAGTGAACCATTGATTCTCTTTTTGTAAGACTAAGAAATTGCGCTCGGTTACTGTTAGGAGAGTGTGAGTAAACGTTGTTATTATATTTTACGAGAAAAGCATTGTAAATATATATAAATATGCATTGTTTTTATTTTGGTACATTTTGCTTTATTGTCACACCTATCACACTGTTAAATAGATGTTTAGTCATGTTTAAAACAACAACTTAACACTTTTAATCTTTAACATCTGTTTAAACGAAACTTTTTAATATTGCTCTTCAATGCTCCCAAGTTTTTGAACGGGTTAAGTTAGCAAGTTGAAATTTGGGATCAAATATCTCAAACTTGCTGGAAGCATAGTAAGTGTTACAATACTTTTTTACCCAAATGTTATCATGCTATCTTATTTCTTAATAATAAATAGTGGGACGGTACCAGCAAAAAGATTGTGACATAAAATAGCTGAATTACGAGCCCAAACAACTAAATATTCGGATACCATTACTTTTTGTACTAGTGGACCCATAAATTAACTGCCACCTTCTAAAAATGTTTGGCAATTATCAATTTATATTGATAGATAAGCATAATAATAATAATAATAGTAGCCTTTATTTAACCTGGCGGGTGTCAGCTAAAAGCTGTTTTTCATACCAAACAGATATTTTTAATAGCGGCACCTCTGATTTCAAATTTATTACTTTAAGACAAATAAAATCACTGAAATATCGTGAAATATGGCGACAACTAAATGTTCGGACAGGTCAAGAAGCATAACAGAGATAAGCAGAGACTAGCATGCTATGCAAAAACAATTGAGGGCGATACCAATGTCAAAATACCATTTATGTCAACGTCGTTATAAATTGTATTTAGTATCTAATTGTATTTTCTTGTTGGTAATTTATATTCATCCAAAAATGGTGCGAGGTGTAGCGCCACTAACCAGAAAGTGAGGCAAATTATTATACAGCAGTTTTGCAAAGGCAAGTCAATACGCAAAATATCAAGTGATCTTGTTATCCCTAAGTCTACAGTTTCGGATATTATAAAAAAGTATGGCGCCAGTACCGATGTGCGCGGTAAAAGTCCAGGACGACCAAGGATTGTGACTGAACGGAATCGAAGAGCTTTGGTAAAAATCTGCAAATCAGGTAGACGAAACACTTTAAGGGCAGTTACCGCACAGTGGAACACAAAGTGTGGAATGCAGGTTTCACGAGAATGCTGTCGAAAATACATTCATAAATCTGGCCTCAAATTTTATAAGGTATGTATGCGTTATAAAATTATTATTCCAATATAATTTTAAAATGTTTTTCCATTAATTAGGCTAAAGAAAAACGGCTTCTAACTGAAGTCCAAAAAACAAAGGCGCTTAATTTGGGCAAAATCAAAGCGCTCTTGGACGTATGAGAACTGGAGCAAGATCATATTTAGTGACGAAGCCAAATTTGACGTATGCGTAGGCGATCATCGGAAAAGGGTCATCAGAAGCAAAACCTTCCACAAAGACCTTTAAACGTATAGTGAAATTTCCCAAAGGTGTTATGGTGTGTGTATGTCTGCAGTTGGAATGGGACATCTTCATTTTGTAGATGGCACAGTAAATGCAGCTAAATACCAAGAAATCCTTGAGAACACATTATTGCCTACCATAGCAGACATATCCTGACGGAGATTGCATTTATCAGTAGGACGGCGCATCAGGCCACACTGACAAAAGCACAAAACAATGGTTTGGGGATCATGACGTACATGTCCTCTCTTGGCCCGCCAGTAGTCCCGATTTAAATGTGATAGAAACGGTCTGGCACAAAATGAAACAACATTTGAGAAACAATCCTCGGAGAACAATCCCTGAACTGCGTGTGAAATTGCAAGACATTTGGCATTCGTTTACACAAGAAAACCGTCAAGCATTAGTTAAGACCGTGCCTGCAAGAATTCAGGCGGTAATTAATGCAAAAGGCGACGTAACAAGAGTTTAGTTTAATTTTTTTTGTTAATTTAAATTACTTATCAAAAAGAACAAATATTATTATCGAAAATAGGTCACATTTAAAAACATAAAAGTTTTCGGTACAAGTTTACACTATCTTGTTCTGTTATTTTATAGAACAATTTGCACAAAATTTAAAAATGTCCGAATATTTAGATATTTGGGCTCGTATAGCCTGCAACTAGCGCCATCTACTTACTGTGTTGATAAGTACAATAGCCGTGCTCCTCAACCACAGAGTAGTTATATCAAGAGAAGATGATGGAATGTATCTGCATTATAGTAGCTGAGCAACTAGCGAAGTTTGCTGTTCACCCTCAAAGTACGTAAGCTTTAACTAGTTTTTCATATCAGTACGCGATGTAACGAAAACTTTGCGGTCGGCTCTTGGACTATTACTGGTTTACAAATTGTTTACAAATAAAAACAAGGGGCCGTCCTTGGCTTGGCCATTTGCTCTGCATGTACCTCGGAGGTGTTGTCAAGCTCTCATAAAATATTTATAATGCTACATTCATGCTAAGCAGAATGGGGTTCGGTTCTTTTAATGGTTTTGGTGGTTACGTCAAAAAGTCATACGTAATAAGAAAGCTTTTGATTCACATGCTGACGTACTGCTTTTATTACTTAACTAAGTCATGTTGTATTTTGCTTAGGTCCCTAAAAGTTAAATATGTAGCTAAGTGATGAGTTACGGGTTTCGAGCATGTCTGCTCTCGCGAAGAGTGTGATTTATAACGTTATTGGATGACAAATATATTTCGTAAGCCGCAAATGAAGCATAAATATCCCCATCATGAAGGAATATCCAAACAAAAGTAAATTTGAACAAAATATGCGTTTACTACAAGTATTGGTCAATGAATTCATCCGAAAATGATTATGTAGCTGGCCACACCGCATTTATTTCCAACTAAATGAGAACATCCGTGTTTATACGTCATCATCTGTTTTGTGGACGCCATGTTTTTGTCACCATTTATTCGTTTTGTCTGTCTTCTTATATAACTACTCTTTGTACAGACGACCTGTAATGGAATTATAAAAAACTTCGTTACTCATTTACAAAGCCAACTATGAAAATATTATTTTTTTATAACTTAATTCACAAATGCCCTTACTTAACCGACTTCGTATCTCTTACAATTTCCGACATCCAATTCGTGACGGTCGAATATGAAGCACGTTTCCAAACGAATGGTCATTTCGCACAGCAGTTGTATAGCGTAGCAACTATGAAAGCGGCAAAGTACACGGCGCTGGTATCTCTAATTCAATTATGCGTATGATTTTATTATTTGAATTGCTCTGCCGCTCGTTAGCAGCATTTTCATCACGATTGTCTGCTGCTCATCCACGATGTTACTGGATGCTATTTAATGTGGTTATCAAATTATTTATTAATTTGTTTCCAGCCGCAATAGTTAGACTGCCCGAACGGAATAATGGAAACTAGCTGCAATATGAGTGGTTTCAACTTACTGTTTGTGTCCAACTAGCCATCTACAGTGCTTTTCAAAAACGTCATTCTACCCACTAATATTATTACAAAATAGAAATGAGCAGAGTACAATATTTTAAGCTCATGTACAAAAGAAAAACGTGGCCTACGAACAAGTAACGTGAAATACAAAAAAGTTCATAACTATAAAGTTTCTTCACTGTTCCACCTAAAATAATACACTTTGAAGCTATTGACTGACGTAGCATTAACTACAATTTCTGGTAAGCTGTTCCAAGGTATCCTCCATTGCGGAGAAACCACTGTCGGTCTGACGTTCTAAACGGCTCCATTTGCAGATAAGCTGTATCCTCGGAGATTGCTGCGCGACAGTTAGTATAAGTGCTTCAGCTTGGTGCCAATCAAGCCATGGGGTGTTTTAAAGGGTGTCTCAATAAGAGCGCCGGATTTGAGTTTCAAGAAAAACACAATTTCTTTTCGAATTAAGCGATTATTTATATTTCAACATGAAGGGAATAGTTGCGATTAAACATGAAATAGGACATCCGGTAAATGGCCACCACGAAACCTCTGGCACAGGGTCAGTCTTTTCTTAAAATTCTGCGTAACGTTTTCGCACAACTGTGGCTCTATTTCGTCGATAATGCGACGTATCTCTTTAAAGCGTTCAACTTTTTGTGGCTTGTTTGCATACACCTTTTCTTTCACATAGCCCCAGAGGAGGAAATCCATTGGCGTTACATCGCACGATCTTGGTGGCCAATTATGACCGCCAAACCGAGAGATGACACGGTCTGGAAACTTGGTCCGCAGTAACAGCATTGTTTCGCGTGCCGTGTGGCAGGTCGCACCGTCTTGTTGGAAGACCATATCCTCCACATCAATTCGATCCATCTGGAGCCCCGAAAACTCGGTTAACATTTCGCTGTACCTCACACCATTTACCGCAGTTCCAGCTGCATTTTCGAAGAAATACGGTCCAATCGCTCCGCCACTCCACAATGCGCGCCAAACCGTAACTCGCGGCGGATGCATTGGTTGTTCGTTTATTACGAGAGTTTTCAGAACCCCAAAATCGGCAGTTCTGCTTATTGACGTATACTTTATCTGAAGTCACTTGAAATAGCATAAAAACCTTTGGTCGGCGCGTCCTTTGTAATTTCATGACGTATCATAGGCGTGCGGTCATTTATTTAGAACGATAATAATAATGTTTTTATATCACAATAAATGGATTTTACTATCTTCTTATTTTTTTGATTTGGGATAAAAAATACTTATATTGGGAGTTTAATTTATGTTGACTGAAAGTTAAGAAATGGAAAAATTACAGAATTCCAACGTTTGACATAGGCAAATATTTACATAGCAGGTAGGTATATAAAAAGGTATATAAAGACTTACATTATAGGTATTTATATATCATCCTCGCCTTCGGAGCTGTCGCTAGAGTCATCTTGTAGAGGAATTACAACGGGATTTACAGGAGGCAAAACACAATATTCATTTTCTTTTTCAATAATATGCCTAGAACACTGCTTCCATAGGTCTGTGGCAGCAATATGAGATACTGCATCTCTTATTGTGGCCAATAGCGATTCACTTAATTGCGGGGTCTGATTATGTTTACTTACTTTTTTTTTAAAGCAGCCCAGACCAACTCAATCGGGTTAGAAATGCAGTAATAGGGAGGTAGACGTAATACTTCATGGCCATTTTGCTGAAGCAGATTGTCAACAACATACTCTTTTTCAAATTTTTGTCTTTTAATAAGATCCAATAATATGGCTTTGGTTGATTTTTGGGGTATTTCCATTCCCTTATCCTTCATAAAATCAATAATGTCTTG